TCACACTTTGTGCTACAAGGAGTAGCACAGTTGATTAATTTCTGGAGATAATACATGTTATCAGAGAAAATAAATGAATAATTCCTTAGTAATCTCCTTAGTCAACCAGCCCTTCTAGGGACCACAGAACTTCTAATCACTTTTGCTGTAGTCTCACTGTAGCTATGATTAGACTGCCAATAAGCACCAACCTCTTAGGAAAACCATCAACATGAAATAAAGATGCTAAATATCAGAAATCAAATTATGAGTTCCAAAATGCAACTAATAGGCCCCCCCAAAAAAAACTATGAAAAGGAAGCAAAGAAAATTTCTCAGAGATATAATTTTCCATGTTACAAAGGCCATTAGCATCCAGGAAAATGAATAAATATGATCCATAAGACCAAGAATAAAGAGAAAATCCTAATAGCTCTAGCAGAAAAAAAAAATAAGGGAACATACCAAAAAACAAGAAGAATGACATTAGAAAGCAATACTGGATGCAGCAGAATGAAACAGAAATGCTTTTTTAAATTCTAGAATTCTCAGCTTAGAATGTTGTGGCTAGTCAAAATATTGATCAAGTGCTGGAGAATACAGATATTTTCATGCATGCAAGAATTAGGATATTTTCTTCTTACACAAGAGGACATATGTCAACAACCAGGGGGGAATGAGATCCAGAAACACCGAATCAAAACCAGAAGACTGGTGAAGGAAAATCTTAAGACCACCGGTAAGAGTCCAGATCAGAGCAGGAAGAAACAGGCCCAAGGAGTTCAAATAAGAATGTTGTCTAAATATAGGTGATAAAATGTTACGCCAGGGAAACCCGATGACACATTTCTAGTAGCTGTACTCTTGGCAACTCACAACCTAATTCTTTCCCTGGAATAGAAGTCACTATTAAAGAATAAGTATGTCATTTATCTCTTATGAAAATGATATTGTGAGCAAAGGCTTAATAATTCTTTTTCTCCTTTGTGGAGAAAGGACATGGGATAACTCTCTAGCGTTGTTGACCTGGAAATCTGATAAAAGTGGAAGATTAGCTATGTCACCAGGAAACACTGCTAATGGTTAAAATGACCTCGGACTGCTAAACTCCATCTGAACAGGGAATGCTATATAGTGGGCTTCCCTGAGCACAGTGCCCGCTCATAGCTAAGCATAGCCCTGTTGGCACATCTGGAAGCTATGCCTATGGAGCTATTACAAGAGATGCTGGTTCCCTTTGGAACACAGATTCCACACCCACAATGTGGTCTTATTCTCTCACATCTCAGTTGCCTCTGGGAGTGTCAAAAACAGTCCCTGGACTTCTGTGTGCACTGCCACAAGGATTCCCTTCTAGCTACCAGACTACTGCAGCTGTTCAGTGTCTCTCTGAGTGAAACAGTTCCAGGTCTGGCCAATTAAGGAGTGAGTGTGAAGTGCTCCGTAGAGTGCGTGACCGAGAGTGGGCCATGCAGCTATAATTTATTACATAATAGGAAAAATTCAATGAAGCTGTTTTTATTGTAAGAATATTACAAAAGAAGAGGCTAAGATGGAAATAAAATCAAAGATATCTGGCTGAATTTGGTTGGCATTTAGCATCAGGAACTTTTATTTCATAAATCCGAGGAGGAAGAACTGAAACTTTACACAGAACTTGATAAAGCAGTTTGGAAAATAGCTGTTTTTAATTCTTCGTTGACTTTGGAAAATAAAGCATCAGTGATTGTGCACATGAGTAAGTATGTTAGAGAGAAAGATCTAGAAGTGGCAAAGAGAGTGTCTATCGTTGGTAACAAAGCACATAGAGGCTTAAGTAATTTGATTTTATTTACAAAGTTAACGAGTAGAAGAAGCTTAAAATAGTGTGCTAAATATTCTTCCTCCGTAGATTCAGATCAGTAGGCAGTGGTAGTAACTCTAGAAAGAGCAGCAAACATTGCTTAGAGATACACACACACACACACATGCAAACATATATATGCACACACACGCAGATGCAGTACCCTATAAGGAGAAGTGAAAGCAGAAAAGTGCTTGATCTGGTGAGCAGAACATTGGGTGGGAAATGCGACAGGCAGCTGTTATTTTCATTATTATAATGACATTTAATTTAAGTTATTTTTTCCATGTATGCTTTTACTTTGATTGAAATATTTTAAAACATTAATGATAGAAATTTAAATAGTCATATTGTTATTAAGGAGTGCTTATTTTAACTCCGGTTGGATAAATCAGGACATATTTTTATCTAAGGCCCACTTCCACCAAGAAAATGGTTGAAGGACAGAATAGGATAAAACAGATAATAATCTTCCTAAAACAGTACACAAAACAAAGTTACTAACATGAAAAAACACCATAAATATAGTCATAATTAAATAGTTGTGCAGATAAATTCTCTTATGAATTATTTTCTAAAATCAACAGTCCTTTCATACTTGGATCTACTAATTTGAATTTAAGATAATGTTTTTTAGTATGATGTTCACCTACATGTATGTGTGTTTGCCCTGAAAACTTAAAATATCATATTCATGAAAAACACATCAAACAGTTAATAATTAAAGCATAAATATAAAATAATATAGTTTTATAAGTGCTAATATTTTTTTAATACAGGTAAAGTAAA